AAAAAAAAAAAGTATGTAAAGATTGCATATGACAAGGAAATTATTCACAGGGCCTAAAATAAAATTACAGACTGCTCTTCCCAACATCTGTTCTTTAAGACACCTGCTGCTAAGCTACTGCGAAGTTCCACCTTCTCACACAGTGACAAGGGCAAGGACACTGGGAGGAGGGGAGTAGTGGTTCTGGTCACCATCAATCCCCTCGGCAGTATAAAAAAATTTTAAAAAAGTAATAATAAAATAAAATCTCTTTGCCGGGGAGATGGCTCAGTGGAATAAGCGCTTCCCTGGCAAGCACAAGGGCCTGAGTTCAATCCCCGGTTCCGAAAAAATAAAAAATTTTTTTAAAAATAAATAAATAAAATCCCCTCGGCAGTGTTCTGCTCCCAGGATACATAACTGCTGGAAAAGGATTACTGTAGACAAGGGATTCATCCCCGATCATGCACCATCACTAGGTCTTCAACACAACAATGGACTGGCCCTTTGCCCCTCTTCCAAACACTCCTTTTCATATTGGGCTCTCACAGTTAAATCTCTCAGATTTGGAGACTGATTCAGCAGGTGAGCTCACTACTTTTCATGCATCATTCTAACACATTTGCAAAAGTCAATGTTTTTTCGGTAAATAAAAATGCATGAAAAAAATGCCTGTTAGTAAAGTTACTGTAGTAGTCACAGCTATCTTCCTTTCCAAACAGCTCACTTTAAGAACTCTGGAAAACTGAGAACTTTACTAAAGTGTATGCTTAGCCAGGTGTGGTGGTGCACACCTGTAATCCCAGCATTCAGGAGGCTGAAGAAAGATAGTTGGAAGTTCGAGGCCAGCTTGGACTACAAAGTGAGTTCAAGGCCAACCTGAACTACATAGTGAGACCCTGTCTCAAAAAGACACAAATAACGAAATAAATAGCGTATACACAACTTGTTCTCGCTGTAGTACCCACAAAAGGTCACAGATCCACTACATAAGTTTTTCATAAATACCTTATAACGTTACTACTTGAAATTTAATCATTCAGAATATTCTCATGGCTTAAGGTTGTTAAAACAAAACAAACAAACAAAAAACCCTCTAGGGCTGGCAAGATAGCTCAGGGTCCAAGCATCTGCTCGTCAAGCGCAAGGACCCGGCTCGATCCCCAGTACTTCAAGCCACACTAGCCCCACCCCCAAGCACACTATATCTCAGCCACTGAGACCAGGCATGGTGGCACATGCCTCTGTAATCCCAGCATTGGGGAGGCTGAGACATGAGGACTACTATGAGTCCAACCTGTGCTGAGACCCTGTATCAAATACATACATACATACATACATACATACATAATAAATAATGTACTTATTTATTTGGCAATGACCATTGAACTAGACCTTTATGCCTGTTAAACACCCGCTCTACCTCTAAGCCATATTCCTAGCCCCTTAACTGTATAATTTGTAAGTATGAAGTTTCTGAGAGCCAGGAGTGGCTGCATACTCCTGTGAGCCCAGAACTCAGCTGGGACAGGAAGACTGCTAAGACTATGAGGCTAGCCTAGGTTACAAAGTAAAATCAAGGCCACCCAAGTTGTATAGCATGACCCTGTCTCAAAAAGACAAAAAAAAGAAAGAAAAATCTCTCATGCTTTTCTCTATTTAATGTAAAGCCAAGTCACTGGAAAATTTTTACTTGTAATACTTGTTCTTCAAAGAAAAATGAGACTAAAAGAAAACTACAGTAAATAGTTGACTGGTCCCTTAGGCACATAGATACATATATGTGAAAAGATTTCACTTTTAACAGCATTATTTACCTTCTGCCCTTCTCGCAAAGCTTCTCAATTTCAGCTTTCAGATCCTGTTCTTTCTGTAAAAACTCCTTCTTTTCTTTCTCCATCTTCTTTTTTGTTTCTTCCCGCTTTATGGTCACATCCTGAATAGCCTTTAAAATCTCCTAAATCCCACACCACAGTCACAGACAAAGAAAGAAATAAGTTAGCTTTTAATTTGACAGTTATTTTCAATAATCTGACAAATTCATATACTGACTTTAGCAGATTCAAACTGAATTCAAAGAATTTGGGTGATGAGTAGCTCCCAAAACCATTATCCAAACTCACAGCGAAAATTCCAAGAGCAACAGACTTAAATTCAATGGAAGAAAGAAGTTCTAACGCTCATATTGTTCAGAAATGGTGCCTGATACAGTCACACACTGTAAGATTCCAGCACACAGGAGGCTGATGCAGGAGGATTGCTGGGAGTTTGGGACCAACCTGGGCTATATAAGTGCATTTGAGGCCAGCCTGCATTTAATAGTGAGACCCTGTCTCAAAAAAAAGAACCAAGGGGGCCAGGAAGATGGTTCAGTGGAATAAGCGCTTCCCTGGCAAGCGCAAAGGCCTGAGTTCAATCCCCGGTTCTGCCAAAAAAAGAAAAGAAGAAGAGCCAAAAGACCCCAGACAAACAGAAATAGAATGTACTGCTTTATGGTGCAATTAGCTCCCTTAAGCTCTTCAAGTGAAGACAGCTGCTAAAGATGGTTTAAAAAAAGGTGTTCTTGCTCCAGGTGGGAGTTTACTATATCTAACAGTCATGGTCTTTTTTTGTTACAGTTCTATTTTATTATGTATGAGTCTTGTTTGCCTTTTCACTGTTTAACAACAACAACAACAAATACATATGCACAAATATTTGTAATAAAAAGTCAAATAATACAAAAGTGATAGAGTTAACAGTTACCTCACCTGTATGTCTCTTCCACCTGCTAGGATAATCAGTGTGGTAACTGCTATACCATTTTGTCTATTTTCTCACCATGCAGATACCAACGTATTTCTTTGCCTTTTGTTTTCTTTCTTTTTTTGGTCAAACTCAGTGTTGTACATGTAAAGCATGCACTCTGTCTCCAAGCTATTCCTCAGCCTGTTTTTCTTTTTAATGAGGTTATTTTAAATTATTTTGTATCCTGGTTTTCTTCACTCAGTATGCACATACTATGTCACTCAAGATCTAACACAGAGCTGCATAATATAGCATCACATGGGACGTATCGAATGTACCCAACCATTCTGGTAAAACTTCCTCAGGATATCTCA